TGACACTGCTTCTTAAAGTCTCTAGATAGCTGTGTCCCTGTTATAGTTAGTGTATAAGAAGGCTTTGGAATACACTTTCTATAACAATATTATATCGAACTAATTAATCACATGCTATTGTAGTTCAAAGTTCTTCTGTACTCATTACTTTTCTCCAGGAAGATAGACTTAAGGTCAGATTAATTGCTTTATTTCAAGAATTTATTATTATTCTTGAAAAAGTTCTTCTGTACTTTAAAAAAAATTGAATATCATATTAATCGCTATAAATAATTTACTATTGCCTTTTCTTGAATGATAGGCTAAAGATCTATTAATCACATTATTTCAGAGATTTTTATTATTTACTAATAAAAATATTAAACATTATATTAATATTATTATAATACAATCATTAATTATAGAAATATATTGTCTAATACTTGCATATTAGTAATTGTCACTCCCATTTATTATATTATTTATTACATGATATAATAAATAATATAATAAATGGGAGTAACAATTACTGATATGCAGAGTATTCGACAATTACTAATATTTGACAATAACTGATATGTATTAAGATATTTGACAATACTAGATTAGGACAATATGCATAAAATTAGTATTTTGGTATTTGACATATTTGGATTTTATTGTTTTCTTCTATACTCAAATTAATTTTTGAATATTACACAAATTAAATACATATCGACATTAATTATAGAAATGTTAAATAATTACCTTTTGCTAAGGTGAATAAATTGTTTCATCACGTGATAAAGAAGCCTTTTCTTTAAAATATTCTGTATATATTATATTATAATAAATAAAATTTAATAATTTTTATTGAGAAGATATGTTAATTAACAGCAATAAAAAGTTCAAAGATATTAGCTTATTTTTTTGTTGTCTATTGCTCTTAAGTTGCTTCAAAATTCTAGCTTTGTATTTATCTTGATACAAAGTTATTTGATTTTATGCTTTGTCTTTAAAAATATTTTAGCGAATAATATAGACAGAATCTTTAAAGAATTCTACATATAACTTCGAAGAACTCTTGTACTCATAATATTACTATATTAGAAAAATGTTTATATTTACTAAAAGATATTTGTATATTTTTTGTATTTTATATTTGCAAGGAGAATGAAATTTATGTGTTCTGAAGAGAAGTAATTTAACACGTTTTGAAGAGAAGTTGTTTTCATCATTGTTTACATATCTTTTAAATATTATTGGGAATTTGAACTCTGATTATTAAATTAATTAGTGATCAAAACTACAGTATAATCTAGAGTCTTGTAAAATTTTATTTTAACTCTGATTATTGAATAATTAGTGATTGATTCTATAATATAGCCTAAAGCTTTATTTTGTCTAAGATATTCATGAAAAATATATTTAAGACAACTATTCGCACCATATAATTTCTTACTAAAATCTTTAAAAAATATTAATAAAGAAATAATAATACAATCAAAATGGCATCATTTAAACTAGTATTATGTTATTGCAATAAATGTAAAGGGAAAAAATATGTTAATCCTTAAACAAATCAAGATTATATGACTTTACTTGATATTAGTACATCAAGTACAAACATTAAAATATCAGTTTCAAAATATGAAGAACCTCTTTCTGAATTTCTGAGCGAAAGTTCTAAAGATAGTAATTCTGAAGAAAATAGTTCTGAAAACAATGATTCTAAAAACAACAATTCTGAAAACAATAATTATGAAAACAATGATTCCAAAAACAATAATTCTAAAAACAATGATTCTGAAAATAGTGATTCTAAAAACAGTGATTTCGAAGAAAATGATTCTGAAGAAAATGATTCTGAAAAAAATAATTCTGAAAGCAATCAAAGTAAAGAATTAGAAAGCAAAGATGAAAGTATAACTAGTGATGCAAATGAAGATAATTTGGTATCTGGTACTGATACAATAGATTTATTTCTTGAAAATGACTTTGATATACAAACACCTACCTCAAGAAGATTAGCAAAAAGAAAATTTAAAGTACCTTAGATAATGATAAAGAGATGATTATTGAACCAACTACAGAAAAAAAAGATACATTTAACATTTATAACTTATCTAATGAAGATGATATAATGATAATTAGAGAAGATGATTATTCTTCTCCAAGTAGTTCTTCAAATAATTCTTCAAATAATTCTTCAAATGAATTTTCAAGTGATTCACAAGAAAGTCATGATCCTATAAACTTTATTCCACTAGAAATCAATTTTGAAATTTTTGAACTACTATTTGATATTTATAACAATCATCTAAATAATTAGATTACTTTATAGATAATGAAATATCAATAATGTTATATTATTTCTGATACTGGTACAGTATCATTAATTAAATTTCTTCAGTATTTATTTTTGTATTTTAAAATTGATGAAGCTGATAGGCTACTGACTTCTATGTATTCTGTGAAATTGTCTTTAGGGATTTTAACCAAATATAAAAAGTATGCTATATGTTCAAAATATCATAAGCTATATGATCTATCAGTAATTAAAGACCATGTTTAAGACAATGAACTAGCAAGTATGAAGTGTACAAATGTAGAATATCTCTATTATCAAAATAAATCACAATAATCAGCATGCAATAAACCATTAGCAGTAAAGCTAAAAACAATGGATGGTATCTTATTACAATTATTGAAAATTTATCTAGTTGGAAGTATAAAGCAACAGCTCTATATGATATATCAGAGAGCTGGCTTTGAGAATATATTGCAGTATTCTAGTAATAAAAATATTCCAAATAGAATTTTCTCTGACATATATGAGAGAAATATTTGGAAAAATTTTGCTATAAATCCAGAAGATCCTACACCATTTTTTACAAATAATATACTTGATAGTTATATCAGCCTAGTAATTAATATAGATTGGTTTCAACTATTCGATTATATAGTTCATAGTACTGGAGTAATTTATAGAGTATTGTGTAATTTACTAAGGGAAAAATGATTTAAACCAAATAATATATTAACTTTAGGTATTATTTCTAATTCAAATGAACCAAGTAAACATCAAATCAATAATTATCTAGCTCCAATTGTTGATGAGTTAGTTGATTTTGCTTCTGGTATAGATTTACTAGCAACATTTGAATATAAAAAAGAATGCAAAATTTATATCGCATTGATTCTATCATCAAACGATGTTCCAGCTGCAAGAAAGATTTGTGATCATGCAAATCATACAGTGAAATATCATCGCTGTCTAAAATGTGCAACATATGATAATTTATCTAAAAGAAGTCACTATTGTAGTTTTGAAAATATAGATAAATGGTTTAATCTGGTAGATATAACAAAATATTTTGATGCAGTGAAAGAATAGTTAAATTGTACAAATAAACAGGAAAGAGATGATCATGTATCTAA